CGACAATGGATGACATGTTAGTGACATGTTTTAAACTTGCAGCTACTAAATATGATTTTTTTCCCCCTTCAAATCATAACTTTGGATAAGATTTTTTGGGGCCATTATTTATCTTTATTTTGAGGTTCTAATGGTTTGAATTATTTTCATAGGCAACAGATGGAAAGTATGAGTATAAATATGGCAGAATTGATCATGTAACGATAAATCTATGATCTAAATGTAAACAGAGGTTAGCCATGCTCACTATGAAAATTCAAACCACATGATTGGAAGTTGCTAGCTCCCAAATTGAGTGACAGCTCTTTTAATTAAAAGATTAAAATGAGACAATAACTAAAGTCTCATGTGTTCAGGGCCGTAGTAAAACCCATCCAGCGCGTGTTTAAAGAAACCCTTTAACACACATAAAAGTTGGTTTACTCATCACAGAGAGTACTGATTGGTATATAAAAACAGTTGTATAATGTCTTCTGTGTCTCTGGAGGAGCTTTGTCAAGTCTGAAAATAATTCAACCCTGATGATGTAATAGTGATGTCATTAGGGTCTATCATAGAAAACGTATGAACTGGAGGTGTGAAGTGTGATAGAAGTGAGCCTTCGCCAGGGGGATAGATGGTCTAATGATACCACCCAGTTGCATTATGGGAAATGTAGGATCCAGTGTTTTTGAAGTTTTTCTGTTATAAGTCCTCCAGCTTTATGGAACAGCAAAACAAAAAAGATTACCTCTCTAAAATAGAAATTTTACTGAATTCTACATTTAATTTAACAGTTTGATTTAGTTGTATCTCCCTTACGATCCAAAGCCTTCTGCATCCCACGAGTCAAGTCAATTGTATTCATATAGTCCAGAATCACAAATTTGCTCTAAAGGCTTGTACAATCTGTGTAGAACAATAATATTCAAATCAAAATATTTAGCTATAAATAGTCAAACTTTAAGATATTTAGTCAAAAATATGTGGATCTCCCTTTAAAAAATAATCATGTGTAATGTGTGTAATTGTAAAATGTAAATGCCTCCTCAGTGTATTAATTCCCCCAAACTTACAGGAATATGAGAGACTTCAGCTGAAGAATTTGAACTCTTTAATGGCACAGTGTGCGTTATTAGGAATATATTGTAATAGTAAACATTTTGTCTTAAATGAAAGAGGAAATAAATAGATATGCAATAATAATAATAATAATAATAATAATAATAATAATAATAATCAAATATTAAAAACAATGTATGAAAACACATATGACTTTTTGGACCATTTATGTTTTTATATGTGGGCAAGTTTATAATAATAATAATAATAATATAATAATAATGCTGTGTTATTATCATTATTATGTAGGCCTGTAATTTATAATCGAGGTGCCGACGGTGACACATGAGCGGAGTGTCCGTTTGTGTGACTGCTTAATCTATAGCACTGCACACCCACCCCACACACACACACACACACACACACACACACCAGCTAGAGTACACACACAGCACCCCAGAGACTTCAATACCGGCCGTGTTGGGATGACTGAAATAGGAGCGCCGCAGTGGCCGGTGGAGTGCGATCCCTCTCCCCTCTCTCCAGTCTCCTCTCTCTGGTCTCCCTTCACCTCCTCTCTCTCTCTCTCTCCTCCACAAACACAAAACTATATACGGCAATTAATTCCTGCTTGTCCCTCCATCCCTCATCGGCCCTGCCGGCGCGTATCGACGCAGATTACTGCTGATGGTCCGTTTTATCACCGCGGAATATACAGCGAGGAGCGCTCGTAGACACACACACACAAACACACACCACACATCACATACAACACACACCACACACACATCATAGGATCTCTCCGGTGTTTAGGATCGCTACCAAAATGCCTAAAAGCAAAAGCAGCGACAGTGACTTTATGATAAGTTGTGAAGTTGCGGTGAACCTTCGACCTTCTATTATTACAGGAGTGTTATAAGCTGGTGACTCCACAGGACAAACACATACAGCAGGTCCTGCAGATGATGCGCCACAATCCACACAAGTCTTAATATTAAAACGATACTATTGACCCGCTCATGCAGCACTAACGAACCCGCACAACAAAAACTACACGATTAAAAGAACTAATATAAGAAGTAAGAAGTAATATTAAATGTGAAATTCCACTGCAAAAATATTACAGGAAAGGTAAAACAAGCTCAACATGCAATGCACTCCACGTTAATGTCATATTAATATGTTTACAGGCTGGAACCGCCGCTCCATAAAGTCCAATAATAAATGAACTGTTACGCACAGCAGACACACCGAATTAAAAATGAACTACAGAAAGATTACAAGAATATTAAAAGAAAAACGAATCTACATGTAATATAATTAACACAATAAATTCCCCAAATGCCCTGTGAAACAAAGAAACATTGCGGAAATATTATAATCTATCAAAATATTATGGTAAAACAAACATTTTAAAACAACAAGACCCCGTAAAATAACAACTGAACGCTGCACTCGCACCTGATGAGTAAAACCACCAGTACTGAATGAATGTTGAATTCAGAGCCCACTGTCCACTGTCCACTGTGACTGAACCGCTGCTCTGTAATCCTCAGTGGAATCACAATAAATATCACTGGTAGGCCAAAATAAATAAAACCAATCACAGAAAAGTAGCCTAGTGTCTGAAGATAAAAAAGCTGCAAACACACCAAACATCACCTTAAAACTTCAACTAACAGACACGAGACTTCACTTTCATCTCCACGTGCGCAGCGGGGAGCGGAGCGGCTGCCGGGACTCAAACCGGGAGAGTGCTCGGTCCCGTTACACCGGACTGACGGGCCGCTGAGCTTCAACTCAGACTGTGTGCGTGTGTGTGTTACCTGTAACGGGACACCCTGACGTTACGGATGAAACGCACATTGTAGATTGAGGAGATTTTAAACAAGACAGCGGCGTGTGCGCGCTACTTTCACGGCTGACGGCTCTCTGTCAATAACGGCTCGTACGCACCACACACCACCACACACACACACACACCACACACACCACGCACGCACGCACGCACACATGAACTCCCCATACGGCGGAATAGCCAAAGTAATAGAGGAGTTCTAAGAGTGAAAACGTGGTTTGCTTTTGCTGCGCGGTTAAAAATGAATGAGAATCACATGACTAACAAAATCTTCAACGAGTGCTAAATAATAATTTAAAAACTATTCAGCCTACATAGATTTTAAAAGAGAATAAACGAAAGAAAAAAACCCACTCCAATCTGTTTAAACGCTTTTAAAGAAACCGTTTGATTTGTTCAACTGTCCTGAATTAAAAAAAAACATCCTGAAATAAAACGAATATGCAATTAATCGATAGCTTTGATCGGAGTTTAATTGAGATTAATCATTATTATTATCAGCGCGCACATAAAAATAAAACCACAGTAAAATAGAAAGACCGTGTAAAGGCAGGCAGGTGTAAACCCTGACTCTTATTTCCATACAATCTGAATGACGTCTGGTTAATATTAACTCCGAGCAGTAGGCCTACTGACTGCTGCTGCTGTCTGAGGGTTTGAACCCCGGCCAGGCTTCTGACCTCTGACCTCTGACCTCCTACACCCAAACCCTCCTGCAGCTACTGTCCAAGGCTGCAGACATCCAACCAACTGTAACATCTGAGATAACTGCAGAAAACTGCTGTCAGTAAAACAAAAAAAGTTGCTTATAAACTGAGGTGAAGTTGAAGTTTAACACATAAATGGATGTCTTATAGTTTGAATTTTAAAATGTTTATCACATTTTAAACTGGCGGAAAATTTTAGGACAAATTACTTTTAAAGTGGGAACAATCTAATTAAATTATCATTTTATTTTACGTTATTAATAATTATATATCACTGATTTTAAGTGAATGTTCAGCTGAAAATAAGGCCTGACTCTAATTTTGTGGAGCTTTGATTAGATACATATCATAGAAATATTTTAAAAAGCCCTGTTAATGTTTGATGAAACACTATAAAAATATTCAGAAATATCTAGAAATCCAGGGACACATAAAAAATTATAGAAAAGTTGTTAGAAATGAACATTTACACTACATTCCTTGTGAACATATTGTACAAAAATGATGTAAAAATTAGGAATTTCTTATTACATAAATAAAATTATTCATTAATTCAATAAGAGATTAATAAAGCACAATTAAGTCACTATTTAGCACCACACGAAGAAAGTTCCTACAGAAAGAACTTACTGTAAAGTTATTAC